TATCTTGTACGTAACCCGGGGACTGCCTGTAGTTAGTCCAATTTTTATTGACTATTTCAGCGTTTCTCAAACTATGGAAGGGGTTCTTAAGTTGATTCTGTATGTAAGTCAGAACTGGCGGTCAGTTTCAGCAGTGTCTGAATCTGGACGCCAGTTCCGACTTACATACAGATTCAACTTAAGAACAAACCTACAGTCCCTATCTTGTACGTAACCCGGGGACTGCCTGTAGTTAGTCCAATTTTTATTGACTATTTCAGCGTTTCTCAAACTATGGAAACCAGGCCTCAGCATGTCTGGTGGTTGCCGGCAGGGCTGGCTTTAGGTCGATTCGGGCCCCGCGCCCCTGAACCCGGAAGTGCCGGCGAGTTACAGAGCCGGGGGCCCTGCTCCACTGATATGTGGAGCTGGGTCTCTCCCCTGGTTCTGCCTGGCGGCGCGTGGCTGGCCCACGCTACCTCCGGGTTCGGCCTCCGGAGCCTGAGCGTGGCCTCCGGCCCCACAATGTGGAAGGCAGAAGTTAGGGAACGGGCTTGGGCAGCGGCGGGCTTGGGAGGAGGTGGCAGCGGGGGGACGGAGGGGAAGGCACCAAAGGACAGGGTGCAGGAGAGAGAGACAAATGCCAGGGGGCCAAGTGCAGACAATGAGAGAAAGGGCAGGAGGGGAGGTGTCAGTGAGGGGGAGGACAGGAGGACGCGAGGAGAGGAGAGGGGAAGGGCTTTGGGAACTAGAGGGAAGAAGGAGAGGTGCTGGGAGAAGGCTCAAAAGAAAGGGTGGGCATGAGGAAGGCGGGGATGGAGCAAGGCATGTGTGAGGGCACAGAGGGGCAGAGGGCGGTGAGGGGGTGAGCATCAGGGATAAAGAAGGCACAGGAGCATGAGGGAAGGGGGAGGCACCAGGAGGGTGCAGGGGTAAGGGAAGGTGCAGGTGCCAGGGGATTCCAGGGGGTGAAGCAGAAGGGCAGACACCTGCAGGGGAAGGACCAGCACCATAGATGAGAGGAAGGGCAGATGTGTAGAAGGAGGTGGTAGGAGAGGGGATGAGGAGGGGCTACTGGAGGAGTGGGCACGGGGGGGAGAGAAGGGCTGGTGGAGGGGGGGGCAGGTCTCAGGGAGACTGAGGGCAGTGAGAAGGGCAGGAGTCAGGACAGCAGAGGTGGGTGAGGGGTTGGGGGGGCAGCAGGGACCAGGGG